ACCCGAGTCGAAATTAGATTAGCATTCATAGTTTATATTTTGAAAAATGATAAAATAGCTTGAGATTTGATTATTCGTTAACCTAATTTCACGTAACATGAGTTTTACTTTTATTTTCTCATAAAATATGAATGTCTATTCAAGCAAGCTTGCTGAGGCAAGCTAAGGTTTATGAATACAAATTTTTAATTATGTTCTCAATAAAAAGTTGCACATAATTTAGAAAACTATGAATAATGATCTTAGAATCTGATATAAATTTTACAAGTGTTCATTTTTATTCGTCTAATAATGCTCAGATTGCTATTTTCGTTTAGAATCTGCTAGAATGTCCGTTCCTCATTCTTGTTTATCTTTCTTATTATACCGAATCTGATTTAAAATCTCTATTAGTGAAACAGCATTATTAGACATAACCGTTGTCTTTTTGCAGCTTCAGCTCTTTTGAGAGCTATAATTCTCATCATTCTCATTAGAAAAAAAAAAAAGAAAAAAAAAGAGAAGAAAAAAGGAAAAGAGAACTTTAAGAATGATGAGAATAAAAAGTGTTTTTCATCTCCCCATTTCCTCTAATCCTTATACGATTATTTAATACTTATATATTTATCTCATGCGCAGTTCTAACAAAGGCAGTTCTATTTACGTTTTTATCTTTGTTCTCTTTCTTGTGCTGTTAAGCGAATATATAATCAACATCAACAAAAATTGCTCATTTAAATTAAGAATATAAGGATTAAGTACATACACATTATCGAGATAAACGAGTATTAAATAACTGCGGAATACGTCGTTGTTGAAGACTCATCATGGGCGAGACTGCGAGAGTAGCCAGATGTAACGTTCAGGTAGGACAAAGCTTGTTCACTATTGCACATTTAGATATTCTGCATTGATTTTTCAAATTGGATGCAATTTGCAGGATCAATGTAGAATTAATATTTCGACTCGGGAAAGACTTCTTTTTTATCAAACCTGAAAAATGAGAACGAACTGTCATTGCACTTGGACAATCTTCTGACACTGATTTCTGGTATTGATCGATATTCGATTTTCGGTACTGATTTACTCTTTCATTTCTCTACAAGAAAAAAATTGATACGATTCGTTCATTTATCCGCGTTAATTTGATGAATAAATCAAATATTGATCGGTCTTCAATTTTCGGTACTGACTGATTCTTTAAATTCTTTATAAGAGAATAAAAATTGAATACGAATCGTTCTTTTATCCGACTTAATTTGTTGAATAAATTAGTGGGGTAAGTACCTGCAAGATGAAAACAACTTGTCATTGCACTTAGACAATTTTCTAACGCTGATTTATAGTATTGATCAATATCCGGTTTTTGGTACTGATTTATTCTTTCATTTCTTTATAAGACAAGAAAAATTGATACGAATCATTCGTTTATTCGAGTTAATTTGTTGAGTAAATTAGAGGGATAAATACTTGAAAATGAGAACAAATTGTCATTGTACTTGGACAATTTTCTGACATTAATTTACGGTATTGATAGATATTCGATTTTCGGTACTGATTTATTCTTTCATTTCTCTATAAGAAAAAAAAATTCATACGAATCGTTCATTTATCCGCGTTAATTTGATGAATAAATTAAATATTGACCGGTCTTCAATTTTCGGTACTGACTGATTCTTCAATTTCTTTATAACAGAATAAAAATTGAATACGAATCGTTCTTTTATCCGACTTAATTTGTTGAATAAATTAGTGGGATAAGTACCTGTAAGATGAAAACAACTTGTCATTGCACTTAGACAATTTTCTAACGCTGATTTATAGTATTAATCAATATCCGGTTTTCGATACTGATTTATTTTCTCATTTTTATATAAGACAAAAAAAATTGATACGAATCATTCGTTTATCCGAGTTAATTTGTTGAATAAGATTAGAGGGGTAAGTACCTGAAAAATAAGAACAAATTGTCATTGCACGTGGGTAATTTTTTGACACTGATTTATGGTATTAATCGATATTCGATTTTCGGTACTGATTTACTCTTTCATTTCTCTATAAGAAAAAAAAGTTCTTACGAATCGTTCATTTATCCGCGTTAATTTGATGAATAAGTTAAATATTGATCGGTCTTCAATTTTCGGTACTGACTGATTCTCTAATTTCTTTATAAGAGAATAAAAATTGATACGAATCGTTCTTTTATCCGACTTAATTTGTTGAATAACTTAGTGGGGTAAGTTCCTGCAAGATGAAAACAATTTGTCATTGCACTTAGACAATTTTCTAACCCTGATTTATAGTATTAATCAATATCCGGTTTTCGATACTGATTTAGTCTTCGATTTCTCTATAAAAGAAAAAGAGATTGATACAAATTGTTCATTTATCCGCGTTAATTTGATGAAAAAATTAGATATTGAACGGTCTACGATTTTCGGTACTGAAGTATTTTCTTATTGTTTTATAAGACAAAAAAAAATTGATACGAATCGTTCGTTTATCCGAGTTAATTTGTTGAATAAGATTAGAGGGGTAAGTACCTGAAAAATGAGAACAAATTGTCATTGCACTTGGACAATTTTTTGGCACTGATTTATGGTATTAATCGATATTCGATTTTTGGTACTGATTTACTCTTTCATTTCTCTATAAGAAAACAGAAAATTAATACGAATCGTTCATTTACCCGCGTTATTTTGATGAAAAAATTAGGTATTGATCGGTCTTCGGTTTTCGGTACTGATTTATTCTGTCATTTCTTTACAAGAAAAGAAAAATTGATACGGATCATTCGTTTAACCGAATTAATTTGTTGAGTAAATTAGAGGGGTAAGTACCTAAAAAATGAGAACAAATTGTCATTGCACTTGGACAATTTTATGACACTAATTTATGGTATTAATCGATATTCGATTTTCGGTACTGATTTACTCTTCCATTTCTGTATAAGAAAAAAAAATTGATACGACTCGTTCATTTATCCGCATTAATTTGATGAATAAGTTAAATATTGATCGGTCTTCAATTTTCGGTACTGACTGATTCTCTAATTTCTTTATAAGAGAATAAAAATTGATACGAATCGTTCTTTTATCCAACTTAATTTGTTGTGTAAATTAGTGGGGTAAGTACCTGCAAGATGAAAACAACTTGTCATTGCACTTAAACAATTTTCTAACGCTGATTTATAGTATTGATCAATATCCGGTTTTCGGTACTGATTTAGTCTTTGATTTCTCTATAAAAGAAAAAAAGATTGATACAAATCGTTTGTTTATCCACGTTAATTTGATGAATAAATTCGATATTGATCGGTATTCGATTTTCGGTACTGATTTCATTTTTCTATAAGAAAAGAAAAAATTCTGGCGAATTATTCATTTATCCGCGTTAATTTGATGAAAAAATTATATATTGAACAGTCTTCGATTTTCGGTATTGATTTATCTTCTCATTTTTTTATAAGATAAGAAAAATTGATACGAATCATTCGTTTATCCGAGTTAATTTGTTGAATAAGATTAGGGGGGTATGTACCTGAAAAATAAGAACAAATTGTCATTGCACGTGTGTAATTTTTTGACACTGATTTATGGTATTAATCGATTTTCGGTACTGATTTACTCTTTCATTTCTCTATAAGAAAACAGAAAATTAATACGAATCGTTCATTAATCCGCGTTAATTTGATGAAAAAATTAGGTATTGATCGGTGCTCGGTTTTCGGTACTGATTTATTCTCTCATTTCTTTATAAGAAAAGAAAAATTGATACGGATCGTTCGTTTAACAGAGTTAATTTGTTGAGTAAATTAGAGGGGGAAGTACCTGAAAAATAAGAACAAATTGTCATTGCACTTGGACAATTTTCTGACACTGATTTATGGTATTAATCAATATTCAATTTTCGATACTGATTTACTCTTTCATTGTACTATAAGAAAAGAAAAAATTGATACGAATCGTTCATTTATCTGCGTTGATTTGATGAATAAATTAAATATTGGTCGTGCACGATTGGGGGGGGGAGAGGGATGGAAATAGATGGTAGAAAGGCTGCTAGGAGAGGGGGGAGGGAGAGGGGGAATGAGGGAAGTGTAGGAGTGGACGGGTGTGAGAGGGAGGACGAGGAGGATTAAAAGGATAAGAGAGAGAGCGAGGGAGAAAGAATGGAATGTGAAGGAATGGAATGAATGGAAGAAAGCGAAAATCGGCGGTAAGAAATAAGAATTATAGGAGTAACAGCGGCATAGAAATATAGATACATACATGTGTATAAGAATAGATGATAAACGAACTATTAATTATAAGAGATAAGCGAGCGAGTAGATGTAAGATGTTTGTAAAGTAGATTTAAGGAGGGGCGGGGGATGGAAAAAAGAAAATTATTCTGTCGAAGCATCGGATATTTGCTAGCTTTATGTTAATTAAAGAGGAATGTGTACGATTAGAAAATATGTTAGCAACTAATTGTACAGAATGTCAAAGTTGTTATAACGCCGTTTTCGGAGAATAATTAAAGGTCATGGTAGCGTTAAAGAGTGGAATTTCATCTCATGCGAATTTGGTCTCGTTCTTATTAAATGTTAGATTATCCGCTGCGGACAATAACTCTTCTACTTTTTATCTAATATTCAATGATAATAAATAACATTTAACACCAGTTCAGCCTGTGCAGACAAAACGAACAGGCCTATTGTCTGGCATAGAGATAGTAACTATGGTTGCAGCACGGACATAAACCTCCTGAAAGTGGATGTAGCACGGACTTCCACCAGGTTTTACCACCAAGACCTAAAAGTGGATGTAGCATCGTAGTTCCCCTCTCAAAATGGATGCAGATGGCGCCCTTTCCCATTGCGGAAAGTCGGTGTCGCCGAAAACACCGTGTTGGCCGCTCTCATGTTCCTCTCTGTTCGAATCAGCAGTGAGAAACCTGAGAACGGCCACCATATTGGTTATGCCGGGACGCTTTTAAAGACGCGTCCTCTGAGAAAATGTGTGCACACTACACCCGTCCTGACGATAACGGCAAAGCGTGCACTGTTCTTGTTCACTTACTTCCTTAAGGAAGATAGTAAGATAGAAAAGCACAGACAATCAATCGCCCTTTGTTTTTGTCGCACCACCGATGAGCATATGCGCGGCAGGAGGAGTTACAAGGCGAGTCAGCGACAAATCTTATCGTTAAATTACATCTAATTGAAAACGCCGTGTTGGCCGCTCTCAATTTCCTCTGTGGTGTTACACTAGTGCAGAAAGTTCACATGAGAATAGCTCAAGCTTGAGTTAACAACGTTAGTGATGTAGATGAAGTCGATTTATTATTGAAGTATTTAGTAATTTTTCTGCAGCTAGTCAAGGCAATTTATTAAATTTGTTTACGTGATCTGACATTATGGTAATTATAAACATTTCTATACTATAGTAGAATCTTTTCGTTAATGTGAAGTAGCACATAACCTATACGCAATGTTTGGCAATATCGACGAACAAATTTAATTCGTTTCTTCAATCATGAAATATATATTGGATTGTTATTAGATAATAAATACTTGAAACTCGCAGGATACAACAGTTGACATTTTGTTATTAGTTAAAATGTAATAATGTATATGATTATACATTGCAATGTCATATTTGATTGATCTCTATTAATTAAAGATGAATATTCTTTGAAACATAGTAATGTAATTTTCGTTGGGCAGTCTGCCATCTTTAATTTTCAGAGCCTGCTCAGTGTAATATTATTGCTGATATGTACCTGCACCTACATCAGATCTCTAGTACCTAACTTATTTGATAAGCGGTTAGGAAAGGTTGGGTGAGTACATATGCTTTTAAGTGTGAAAATATTAAAACGTATGAACATACATAATAAGAATAATCTATGTATGTCCATTCAATTGTTTGCAGATTTCAAGGTACTTTTTGGAAATGTGCTAGGATTGGTGAGAGAAAAAGCCCATATGTGGCTGTTTGTTGTGTATTTATGGCCTTTAGCATTTTATTTTGGTCATAACATTCCTACAATATTTCAGCCATTTAGCTGAAATATGTGGTACGTTATATATATTCCAATTTATTTATGCATATTTCAATTTCTGATGTATTTATGTGTAAAGGGTAGGGATGAGAATAAAAAACAATTTTGATATTCATCAAACGGCAAACCTCTATATTTGTCGCTTTTAGTAATACATAAAAATACATTCGTTTAAGCTAGACTTAAAGTCAAAACGAACGTCATTGCTCTAAATGCACGATATCCTTTTTTCTCTTATTTGTCAACACGTTTCATTTTTCCCAAAGCTATATTATCCAATTTGAGCATATTTCCTCATTGTATTCTCGTAATATATTTTTTTTGTTCTATAAACAACAACATTCTTTTAATATAGTTATTGTAGAGTTATTATATTGAGCATTTTGTGATATACAGAGTTCATTAAATAGGTACATTTAACATATTTTTGCTCTGCGTAAGATATGCTACCGTTTTCGTGACAATAAGCCACGCGATGTAACTAAAACTTGTACTCCATGCTTGATGGACATTACAATATAGTTTAAGATAATCGAATTATTCGTTCGTTTCTTTTTTTTTTTTTTACCTCAACTTTAACATCCTAACACCTCTCTCGAGGTCCCTTCGTACCGTCATAATTACAGAGCAAGATATGCTTCGTAGTTTTGCGAGGAACATCAACTAAATGGTTTTTGTAATGATATTAGAAATTATATGACGTACAAGAGTGTTGTCAATTCCTGATAATTTTACATACAATAACATATATATATATATATGTGTGTGTATATGTATATATATGTATATTTCGTTATATTTATCATCATCATTAAAATGTACATGTGTATTTCTCAAGATGGCAGATTACATTCTATACAAAAACTGATATGACAAAGCCGACTTACTTAGCGCGTCTTATTTAAAAAGCGATACATCGGTTATTCCTCGCAGTTAAACCACTTATGCTATATCTATAACGTGGTCACGCACGATCACCGACATGTATATAAGTACAGTATTCGTCTACGAGAGTAATTTAAAAAAATACACAAGATAACCGAGGTGTGATATCTAATATTTTCCTAGAATGTTCGGTAAAATGTATTATCGTTATACACTCTTTCTCTCTCTTTCTCTCTCTCTCTCTCTCTCTCTCTCTTTCTATGGATATGAATTTTACTCTGGATATGATGTGTTAACGCTCGCTAAGATGTCAAGTATAATATCTTGTATCCGCTCACTTACATCACAACCCGAGTCGAAATTTCAGTTGCATATTAACACTATAAATTCCGTCGAAATTCAAAGGTCAGTATGGAGGCCTCAGATATAACATTCTGACGGTAAACTATTGTCCTACTTTGATGTGCTACACAGGTGATTACTTACTGCTATTTCCTCCATGTTGAATTGTTTTCTGAAAGAAAGATTTATTTTAAAATTATTTAATATTTGATTATTTTAATATTCCATCTGTATTTAATATCTACTTTTAATTTCAATTTGCAGTGTGTTAATTACATACAATACTCGGCTGCAAGTAAATTATTTGCTATAAACAATTATTAAATACTTAATATGAGTAAATAATAGAATTAATAAGTAGATAAAACAATATATTTTTATTCACAATTCTTTTAACGTTATTATTTGTTATTATCGTTAGAAAGGTTGATTTGCAGATTTAAAAGATGATAATGTATAATGATGATAAATCATAATTAAAAGTGTTAAATTGTTTATTTATTTAATAGTGATTTTTTGACGGTAAAATCTTGATATTTGTCAACGTTTTCTTTCTAATTCTATTTATAAGATTGTTTTGATTGTATTCAATTCAAATTTAAATGTTTTTATCGGTGCACCATGCACCGGTATTAAATGCACAACTGTTATTTTTACAGATTCTTCCTAATATCAGCTCTTTTGAGAGTTTCAAATTCCATTCCAATGACTAAAGAGGAAAAAAACGAAGAAAATCAAATATGTTGTATTTATTTCTGAATTCTGTTATTCACTTGTATTAATTACACAGCCCCACAAAAAAAAAGTGGTCGGTGCCTAAAATCGGACAAGTATATATTCTTAAATATTTTGATCCGCTGAATCCGAATCCGAGGTCAGAATTGGCCAACTGCTAGCTTTATCGTCCCTAACCTCAAGAAACTGATCATAACTTCATTTAACAAAATTAAGCTGTATATGGTTGAATTCAGCTTAAAAAATGCTACAATTCTTGTCATTACAAAAATTTTCAATTTTCAAAAATAAAGATGGTGGGAAGGGGATATAAAAAAATATAATATTTTTAAGAAATCTAACTACAGTTATATACAATATATACAACGTATAATACATATTATATGTTGTGGAGTAGCTAAAAATAAGAGACACGTATTTTTTTATACGTGCCCAATTTCATATTTAGGGGTTAAAATCATCTTTACAATGTATATTGGTATACCTGGTTTTTAGAGAGTATATTTCAAAAACTATAAAAAATACAAAAAAATGTTCCAGATAAAAGTTGTATGGTTTTTGACGTTTCTTACAACTGTGTAGTTAGATTTCTTAAAAATATTATATTTTTTATATCCCCCTCCCATCATCTTTATTTTTGAAAATTTTTGTAGTGACAAGAATTGTAGCATTTTTTAAGCTGAATTCGACCATATACAGCTTAATTTTGTTAAGTGAAGTTATGATCAATTTTTTGAAGTTTTGAAGTTTTGACGATAAAGCTATCAATTGTCCAATTCTGACCTCGGATTCGGATTCAACGGATCAATATACATAAGAGTATACTTATCCAGTTTTAGGCACCGACCACTTCTTTTTTGTGGGGCTGTGTTATTTAATATTTGCTTATTACACATATTCTAGTTGCAGCTGAATTTCATTACATAATTAATATATTGCTTAATGAAATTACGAGTGAGGATTAAATACAGATAGAATATTAAGATAATCAATATAAGATAATTTTTAAATGTTTGTTTTGGAAACTCGTCATGAAGAAAACGATAAGAAGTTATCATTTGTAGTATCAGAGTAGGAAAATAGCTTTTGTAGAACGTTACATTTCGAGATTCTTCATTAGTCCTTCAAATTTTTGTCGAATTTGTAGGGTTAATGTGGAACGAGAAAATTTCGACTCGGAAACGAACAAACATTTTATCGTTTTATCTCTTCTTACATACAAATTAGTATGCTAATTATTTGTCTGCGTTTGGGTACAATCGCGCAATTGCTCGGAAAGGTCGCGTGATGATTCATCGACGAGAAGACATATTACGTAAACGTGGCAACGTAACGGACGCTCGTTTTGATAGGAAACGTGGCTGTCATCATGGGATATGAGAGGACCGCCACGAAAAGTCGCGGGATGTTCGCGATGTTAAAAAGCGATCATTAATAAACCGGTTGTAAACCGCGCGCGCACGCGGCTCCTCCGTTTCGTCAATGACGGCGACGGTTCGCTCGAGATAGACACCCTGCATGTATATAAGGCTTTTGATGCTAATGTTATAAAATCTCACCCCGAGTCACCTATTAATACCACGAAAAAAGAAAAAAAAACAAGAGAGAGTATGAGAGAAGCAACCGTTCGTCCGCCGTTAAAATAATAATAAAAACCACCCCTCCTCTCGCATCCTCCTAAAGATACATCCGGGCAACGTTACGTTCAGTCTAACCAAAGAGCACATTCCGCACCCTCCCAACCAACAGCTCGCACGTTAGCAACGGATAAAAGGGTCATAAAAAATACATTCGTAAGCGTCTTTCCGTAAAAATTCGCGGCGGTTGTCTCGGACATTCGCATTCGCGCGCATTAGCGGATCGAACTTCACCCCTTCTGTTTGTCTGTCCTTCCGCGTAAGCGGCCTCCAGACGCTCGCGGGTCCCTACGATTTCTCGCCAACTCGCCTCCCTAAGAACATCAATCTAACTAATTAAACCGAGCATCAGCTGGTTCTTTCATTAGCTCCACGTCGTCCTTGTCCTCGTCCTCGTCCTCATCCTCGTCGTCGTCGTCGTCGTCGTCACTGTCGTCCGAAAATTATTCCCTCGCGTTGTGAGAAAGCAAGCTCTTGGTGAATTTTCTTTCGATCGTCGTCCTCTAGGATCGATAAACATGGGTCCCACGTTGACTCGCGGAATAATTTTCACGACGGAGAACAGCTCTCCTCTTTTTTCTCTCGTTGTCGTCGTCGTCGTCGTCGTCTTTGTCGTCGTAGTAGAAGTAATAGTAGTCGTGGTCGTGGTCCGTCTAGTTTTATCGCACCGTGGAGAACAGTAGCAAGCAGAGTGGCAAAACGATCTGCTTGCCGGCGGGAATGGTCGCGGACGCGTCGCTGCGATCCTTGAGATTCTGGTTGTCGTTGTTGCCGTTGTGCTTGAAAGCGTCGCCGTGCTCCTTAATTAAGTGCGCGCGCGGGTCCGCGGTCGTCGACGTGCTCACGTATCTGTTGTTGTAGATCAATCGCGCGGTGCTCTTCTGCATCGCCGGCGTGCTCACCTGCTGGTGGAAAACCCGATTGACCACCGCCCCTTGTCCGGACTTTGACTTGCCTCGGTTCAGTCGCTTCGAGTTGGTTGAGGTGGCGCGGCTGGATTCGGTCGGCCGCTCGATCTCTGCAAGTATATTAACGTGAATTCGTCGACGGCTACGCTGCCAGGAGACGCTTTGTCTCTCGGACCGTGTCCTTTTTTCTTTGGAGGTCGCGCCTCTTTTCCGAAAAGTTGTACTTTCTTTACTTAAACTTTACTTTACGCAAAACTTCAAAAGTTTTGCGTAAGAATCGCGATCGATCCGCGCCAATGCTCGTCAAGTCGTCACTCGACTGTTTACCAAATTACATATTTATTCGCGTGTACATACGTGTGTGTGCACGCACGATTACCCACCGTGAACTCTGAGATTCGCCTCGGCTTTTCCCATGCTGGAGGAAGCCGAGCACGTGTACTCGCCCAAATCCTTTTTCTCCAAGCGCCTTATCTTCAACACGATCGTTGTCTTCCATTCCTCCTCGGGATTGCTCCGCTCGTCGATCTCGTATCTATCTCTGTATTGACATATCACTTACGCTTAATGGCCGTGATAAGGGATAAGGGAGGATAGATTCCGTTATTCGACATCTCGTTAGAATAACCGAATTGTGCAGGGGGATCGATGTCCCATGTCGCACAGTCGCACGGACCGGACCGGTCAGGTCGGGGACCGGCTCGCGGGGGTGATTTAGGAAGAAGAGCGGAACACGGCGGTGCGCGCGTTTCGCCGCCCTTATCGTCCGGACGAGATTGTCGAACAACGGCGCGAACAGTCGGAATCGCTTCGAGCAAACTGTCAATATTGTCCCAGCACGTACCCGTTCATGATCACTTTCTCCTTTCGCATCCACAAGTTAATCGTCTTGGGATAAGCCTCGATCAAGCAGACTAACGACACGTCCGTGTCCAGCGGGGAGCTGAGCAGCTGATTCGATACCTTTGCGCTGGGTGGGACTGCGATCGCGTAGGTGTGCGGAGCAATCAGAGAAAGAGAAAAGATCGATATTATCCCCGATGCGCGCTCGTCCGTTCCGGGTTAGGTCGTCTGATGCTAATTTTTCGAAATTTCGCACCGTAAACTCCTCCGCTGATGAAAATAGCATCGTTTATTTTTTTCAACGCCCGCGACACAGCGTCTTTCTCTTCCTCTCGTCGTGACGAAAGTAAACGTCACGGCAAACGTCAACAAGAGACTAACATTCTCGCGTGAATTCTCTGATTTTCAGTTCTCGACTCGGTGCACGCGAGGCAACGACGACTAACACGGGCAAATCGTTGTAAACCGTTTTCCAAGAGTACTTACAATTTACTTTGAGATTAACCCTCTTGCTGACCGCCGGGGGCACTTCGTTTCTCGCTATGCAAAGATAAGCCCCCATTTGCCTCCTGTCTACCCTGATTAATTCTAGCCTCTCGCCGGACAGGCTCTCCACTAGAAAATCGTACGTTGTATGAATATATCTCGTTGAAAACTGGTCCCTCGTCGACCGTGTAAGCCGACGTGTTAACGCGGCCCGCGTAATTATTCGCGAAATACACCTTCGGGGCACGTAACGATAAGCAGAACATGAATTCGTAGCAAAATTCGTCGCCGGGATTTATCGCAGTCGTCCACAGCGCGGCGGTTGGGCTCGCGTTAATATTACCGCCTTAATATCAGGTGAATTTCGAGCCGCGCCAAAATCACAATCGAAATTCGAGCCGGCGAGTTGTATTTTTTCTCACATTAACTTCTGTCCGAATTTGACCGTGGACTCGCTGGAATTAATACTGCCGATCGTCGCGGAAAATAGCCGCCCGATGTTTTGCGCATGTTAATTCGAACGCGATTTCATCTGGTGTTATTACGGCCACACACACACGCGCGCGCGCGCGCGCGCATTCTCTCTCTCTCTCTCTCTCTCTCTCTCTCTCTCTCTCTCTCTCTCTCGTTCTCGCTCTCGTTCGGTTCTCACGTAAGCGGCAGAAGATAAATTAATTCGGTATTAAGCGAGTTTTTGCAACGGCGTTATTGTATATTTTTACGATTTGTGTTTTTCACGCTCGTATTCCGTGTTACGAAAATACGCTGTTTTTCATAAAACGGCGTTGTGAGATAACGAAATTCTGGAAATCCACATTTTCCATGCCATACGTGTACAATTTCCATTGTCCGCGTTATAGTGTACGGCGGCGTGGGTACGGGGGCACGTGCGCGCACGTAGTAGGCGCTTTCCAAATAACTGGAAGATAATGAATCATATTATTATCGAACGAACGGTCGACATAAATCACACGTGCAACGTGTCATTTCGCGTTCGCGATAAAATCTGTCAGAAGTTTAATAAGATCGATCGAAAATGCAGGCTGCGTGATTTGTGTTGACAGCAGCCAACGAATTCGCATAGCGCAGTCACTTCTATTGAATTTATAATTACCCGGTGTTTGATCGGCCGGACGCGGCGGCAGTAATATTTTACGGAAATAATATTTTTTTTCTTTTTTACCTCGGCGTTTATAGCTAGTGCCGGTGCGGAGGTTCTCTCGTCATCGTAAAAGCGGACGAGCCGAACAGCTCGCGCGAACGACGAGTATCCTCGCGAAAGAAAAGCGCTCGCAGGGCGCGCACCCGTTGTGCTAATTAACTAATGCGGATTATTTTAGTTACATCAATAAAAGTCGTCCACACACTCGCATCCCGGAACAACAGGGTGGGAAAATGTGAGAACATCAGCCGCTGCAGATTTTACATCGCAATTCACCTCTCTAGATCGAGCGTACGCGACATCGCGATGCCACGGGAACTGTATTTAACAAATATAATAGACGTTGCGCGAGCAGCGCCACTCGGAAAGGTACGTTGCGTAAACTCGCGTGCCCGCGTTATACTCTTTGCGAGTAACATTGCGATGTATCGGAAATCGATTGATTGCGAAAATTTGTCTCCGCTGATGAGACATCAATCAAACCGAATGCGTACAGGCGTACTCTTTTAATTCCGCCGCGTTCGCGCGTTGTCGCGGATGCTTCTTCCTCGTTCTCAGGCCGGTCCGGTCGGTCGATCTATTTCGCGACGCGCGATTTGATCGTGGCTGCACGAAATTCCTTGCGAAATGCAGCGTAGCCCGACGTGCCCGAAGGATATTGAAAGTCATTGCGGACAAACTAATCTCTATTCGATGGAACGTGTTCCGCCGTAATTGCTTTCGATCGCGGGATCACCTACGTGTGCGAATTTACGATGTCTTCATATATCCCTTTAAAACGCTCGGCCGTTTGCTCCCGATTGAGACTCGTCGGATCACCGGGATTGTTCTAATTGCGCGCGCTTCAGCCGTTGTTATGGATTACGTCGACGGCCCAGTCATGAGTGCAGCGAAAATGATTTTATCTCTGTTTACAAGTAAACTTTTTCAGACTTCTGAGGCAAAAGTACTTTGCAGCGAAAAATAAATAACTATCATTCGCAACGAAATATATTTCAGTTTCGTGTTTTTAGCTTTTTAAGTAAACTCTACTTGTAGTTCGTGCTACTTGTAGTACATTTAGTAAAAGCATTCGCTTCGCTCGTAGAGACACGGTCATCGACAAATTTTCGGCTGGACGAAGGGTGCAAAGGGACGATGCACAGAGGTAAAAGCATCACGATTTCTCTCGCAGGCAGAGAGAGAGAGAGAGAGAGAGAGAGAGAGAGAGAGAAAGGAGGGAGGAAGGGAAAGAAAGATTTTATTTCAGAACAACGCGTATTTTTCACGACAAGGCATGTTATCGTCACAAAAAGGATGACGATTGCGGAGTGGGGCTGCGGGTGACAATCACAGGTCAGGATATAGGGGTGATATCTCTTACTTGGCATCAGCGGGTCGTGACCACCTCTCATGAGTATGAATTCACTTTTCTCTCGTCGCCAGAACACGCGAGGCGGCGGTCGTCCGGACGCCTTGCACGACAACGTGGCGTTCTCACCCTCGAGAACGGAGACCTCGCCGTCCGATGTGCCGGTGCTCAGGATGTCGGGTGGCACTGCAAATGAGAGCGATAGCGATAGATGAGACATCAGTAAAGTGACAACCAGATGACGAAATGCTAAACTGCGATCGCGCTCCGAAAAACTCGGCGTTAGCCCGAGTCGGAGAGCTTCCTCACGCATTCGTGACTGACGAGAGAACAGTAGCTTTTACCGGAAATTATGCCGTTCAAACACAATGAGCAAATTGGCTTTTCGGTTTTTTTAATTGGATACTGCGGGAAGAAAGATTGGAGAGAGAGAGCGCGAGCGCTCGCTCTCGGCGCATACGCAAACACATTAAAGCAAATTAAGGTAACATACGCGATAAGATAAACGTAAAATTAAAGCGAGCCAAATGATATCAGAGTCCGCGATGAAGATTTATATTATGAAAAAAACAAAAAGAAAAACAAAACGTATATACGTCATCTAATTCAACATAAATATACATCTCGCCGTGATTTACAAGGACCGCGCGGGATACGTTGTCCGAAATTTACGGCTGTAAACTTCAAAACACTTCCGTCGATATAACTCTTCGCGTTCCCCCGTAAAATTAATCTCCCGTTATTCGCGCGCGTTCTCGAAGTGAACGGGCAGCGGTCGAACCTAGCCGGTTGACCGTCCTTCAAGCCCCGTAATATGGACAGTTAATCTATCTCATGCGCTTTAATTACGCGCGGCCGGAAAGCGGGTAAATGTTTTTGTTCCGCCCGATTCGAGGAGCGCGGCGTGGTCTAATAATATTTTATTTCGTAATTCATTTTATTGCTATCGCATCGCGCAACCCGGACGTCGGGAGGCGCGTGTAAAACTCGATAACAAAAGAATAATAAAGCAATTTTCGCGGCGGCCGCGCGTTTTCTGACTAACGTTGCGCGATATACGAAATGTAAAGTATACAGGACGCGTTAACGCGCGGCCTTTGTCGAATAGATGGAACGTGCGGGCGCACCGCACCCCGCAGTGCTCCCGCGGTCTCCCGTGTCCATTTATCACAAATTCAACATGTGTTCGAGGATTATGACGCAATTTTGTCGGCCGTCACGCGCGGTTGTCTACACGGGCGATGCAATTTTCGAATTGGATCGAAATCGCGCATCGTACGAAACGATATATCTTCATATAAGTCTTCCCTACTCCGTCGCGTCTCTCCTTCCTCCCTTTTCCTCGCGTCGGCCGAGCGTCGAAAGTTCGCGTTCGCGGACCCTGAAGAACCCGGGTATTGCCGGCGTTCCACGGCGTGATTTTTAACCGAGCGTCGCCGCGGCACCTCCGCCGCCGCCACCGCCGCCGCCGCCATCGGCTGGTTTAGCGCGCCACCGAAAAAATCATCGCGAAATCATTCCACCGAATCACATTTGAAACGGAAATGAAATATCGGCGTGTTCTTCTGGTGGCGCTTCCTCCCCTTCCCGCCCCTCTTCGATGGAATTCTGCCCACCGGCTGGGCGAGACGTTCGATTCGTTTCAATTACAATCGCTCAATTCGAACAACCGTGTCGACGCGAGGCGACGCAGCAGGAAGGGAGGGATGGGGCGGGGAGAGCCGCTGTATTTTTTTATGTTTTCTACACAAAAGAATTTCATTCCGCTCGGCCGAGAAAACCGCTTTCCGGTGTCGGCCGGCGATGAACAAGCATGCACGGCAATGGAACGCATTCCGGCTCATCCTCCGGGGGACTCCTGTGAATTCTCGCTCTCGCTTTCACGCACAAAGTAGATGATATTACTCGGCGAGCCCGCACCGCTTGGTGGCTGCTGCTGCCGTCTGCCGCTGCTGGTGGCTCATCGGGGCGCGATATAAAAGTGAAATTGTGCATTTGATGATCCCGTGCTAGCTGCGACGTGCTAGCGGCGAGTGCACCTTCTGTGCCGAAATTGAAGCGCGCCGCGACTCCGGAGAGCCGCTTCGCCGGCGCGTCTAGGATATTGCCGATGTATATCCTGGGCAAAGCAAATATTGAGTCGTGCGTGTTATGCCGCTGTAATTAACGCGTTAAGAGGAGATAATGTAAATTTAATAGAAACAGAGTTGAACTCTGTGAACGTTCTCCTTCTCTCCTTTTCTCTTTGTCTCTCTCTCTCTCTCTCTCTCTCTCTCTCTCTGTCTGTCTGTCTCTCCCTCTCGTGATGTTTGGCGAGTAGTTGACGTACCGACGAACCACGATAGGGTAACGGCAATGGTAGTAGTCGAAGCTGTAATCGGGCGGAACACGCCTGACGAACGGGGAGCCGTCGCTCGCGTCAGGTAGACTTTCGAACTTCGTTATCGCGCTTAATTAAACTATAAATTAAAGCCCGGCGTTTCTTATATGACCGTTAATGGTTCCTTGCGAAGCGCGAATACCAACTTCACCCGTCGATATTACATCTCCTCATGTGGACGAACGGGCGTGTGTGCGCGCGCGCGAGAGTGTTAATAAATCGAAGTAATTTGCCCCGCTAAGCAAATTGAGCCATCCCGAGTAACACACATACGGTAAGGTGTGTGAAATCATTTAATGGATACCCGTGGCGAGATTAACCCTAAAACCCTGAGACGCTCCCGAGACTATTACGCTCTCACTCTCCGCTTCGCGGAACGAAGCTAAATTTTCTAATCGTTCCCGCACGGAGTTACGCTTCACCGGCAAATTAACTCTGCGGCGCTTTCGTCGCGCACCTTTCTCTTCACCTTCCGGATATGCGCATCGCGCGAGGACTCGCGATTACGCGAGAATAACCGGATTAATAACGAGCCGACGGCACTCTCACTCACGCGTCCGCGTGAAGGAGAATTGAGAAGTTGCGATGCAACGCCAATTTGATCGTATCCTTGATCGTATCCCCGCCGATCTATAAAATGGACCATCATACGGAGCATGACAGAGCATTTGCGGTTACGCACGCACTTGCGCGTTTACAGCACACGCGTGCGCGCGCGCGCGCGCACAGCCACGCACTCGGCTATTGAAACGCGCCGCTGTAGCGGCGGCGAGGCACGCATACTTTCCCCGGCCCTGAAGCCACCCCCGGTGGCTCTAATCGAAACGCAGTGCGTGCGTACATGCGTGACGTCTCCGCCGACGGCCGCAAACAGCCGACCGTACCTGGCCGGCCGGAATGCGGCGTAACGCGCAATTAGACATACCTAGAACGTCCACGCATCCCAGCTGGCTCAACATCGGCTTGGTGTTGAGTTGGCACATGTAGCAGCCACGGTCGGCCTCCTTCAGCGACCGAATGTGCAGCTGCCAGGTGGCCTCCTCCTCCTCCCGCGACTGCGTCTGATTCTTTGTCTTGGCGTTCTCCAGGGTGACGAAGAACCGGGGCGAGTGGGTGACCCGGCGCTCGCCCATCGACAATATCGTCTGGTCCTCGGCGCGTAGCCATCCCACCTGCGGAGCAGCGACAAATGCGTCGGGAATTCTTCTCGTTCGCACGCTCGCTCATTCGCGGCAACAACGTGGCTAGCCGCGCACCACACGTCAAGCACCATCGGGTCGGGACGATCCACGAGTCTTGACTCGTGGACGATCGGGGGAAGGGGGCTTTCTCTTTCCTCCATGTCGATCGAGAAATATCGTCGAGAGAAATGGCGAGGACGAGAGGGGGAAAGAGAAACCGCGGGGAGGATTTCGACCAGGTGCTCTCGTAAAGCCGTACGTCGATAACGACACGCGGCATCGCGCTATCGCGCCGCGGATATCGCGCGGATAAACGCGCGGGAAAGGGCGGCGGGATGTCCTGTCGTTATCGCGTCTACGCGTCGATGGCGGGATCGCGCGCGCGCGCGCGCGCGCTGGTCAATTTGCGGCCGATTTCGCCTTTTAAATGCGCGCGGAGCGCGCGCCGTGTAACAAGCACGGTTAACACGGTTCGCATCGCGCGTCCCGCGGGAATTAACCCCGGCGATGTCTGGGGTCTGGGGTCTGTTGACTCGTAAATTCGCCGCGCGGTGTCCCGCGGAATTTCTCTTTTCTTTCCTTTTGCCCTGAAATAACAGGAAGGATAAGCGCGCGCGCACTTCCCACACGCTCCGCGTCCGGGGATCGAAATGTTATTTCGCTTAACTAACGTTTCACGGCGGGATATTATTTTTACTTAAATGGAAACAACCGCGGGGCCGTGGGGTTTGTTTTCTGAAAATCGGGGGCGCGGGTGCGTCGATGAGGCCGTTTTGCGAGAGCCCGTTTTAAGAAATATATAACAACGAGCGTTAGTGCAGGAAAGTGAGAGAACCAGAAAAAGGAGAGAATAAAGAGAAATGATCTCGGCGATCGTTGGTGCGTCGGAACGCGCGTCAGCCTTCGTTCAACTTATAATTCTGCAACGGCAGAGGCTCGATATTCCGGGCTATTAATTTGGGAGTAGCCCGGTGTAGCGCATAATGATATCCAGCGTCGGCGCGCGGGGATTAACATCAGATATCGTCTTTTACTCGTGGTGGATCCCGCTACGGGTTCGACGAAGCGTCCGGCACGAACGAGAGAGGCACCGAACAATATTATATCGCTCCCGCTATCGTCGAGTGCACACCCGTATGCGCGCGTGCGTGTGTGTGCGTACGTATGGCAGTAATTGCTTTTAGCCAAGTACGCGCATTGTGCCGCGGCTTGCACCGGACCGGACCGAACCGGACCGGCGCGCGCGAGCGAGCGGCCGGCGACGGCAGTGCGGGAATCGGCCCGACGAAAGGTTCAATTTAACGTCGCATCCCGCCGCCGCCGCCGTCCTCACTTAACCGACGCGCCAGCCTTCGCCGCGTTATCTATAACGACGCACTTGGTAATTAATCTCAAGTGACTGTCGTGCGACCTATATAACCGTCTCCGACCATACGCGCGCGGCGACCGGGCTACATGCCGTGCCGGGACCACCACCGGTTTGTCACCCATATACCACACCTGGCCGACCGACACGCGTGTACCTTCGCCGCAACCTCGGCCCGAGCTGAGACGATGAGCTGTTGATCGCTGAAAACGGCGGTAATTGGCCTCGAAGGCACACACTGCACCCGGCCGATACGCGTCGGCGTCGGCGTTGACGCTCGACCGTGTCCGGTTGTAGCGATGGATCTCTGTGCCGAAAGTAACGAGATTTCGTTACTCCGGCGGGGACACTCTCTCGCGGGAGCGAGCGAGCCGAGAGACTACGTTTAAAAAAAAAAAAAAGCTACCGAGCTACCGAGTGAAAACGACACGGATATGGGGCCGGCGAGTCTGAAAATCCTGAGGTACGTAACGATCCCGCAGCGCGAAATTATGTCGGCTTGACGTGGAGTTTTAGAGATCTCTCGTCCTTGTAAAAATATAAGGGGATAAAACGTATGTGATAGGGGAGAAAGAGAGTGAGGAACTGGGTTTTACATTGAGCGCCTTCGCGAAGTTCTTTGTTTCCCAAAAACGCGGAAATATTATGATTAAAATATGATGGCCCCGAGCTGAGATTAAAGAAGAAATAAATTTCGGTATTAAACTCGCTCTGTGAAGCCTGAAAGCGCGGTGGAAAAACGCGCGGAGACACTTTTGAGATCTTTTGTTGGAAAAATTATCGCAGTATTCTGAATTTTCCTTTGTACAGCTACGCTGTTTGTGATCCGCGGTAATGGGGAAGCGGTGAGCCGTGCGCCGCATAGCTTAATCGAATCGATGTATAAGTAGTCCAATATAAATCCGGAATTTCCGGTAAAGGCGACCATTTGCGCGAAAAACGAGGCGCTCGTGCCTCCAGCCATTGAGAGGAAACGGAAAAGGGGGTAGGCAGGGAGGGAGGCAAACGGAGAGAGAGAGAGAGAGAGAGAGAGAGAGAGAGAGAGAGAGAGAGAGAGAGAGAGAGAAAGAAAGAGAAGACTAAGAGATGACGGCAGTCGCCGTTTGAATCCTTTCGTTATCGAGGTACAATCGACAGCGCTTTAAGTACATTGTCACGAAGGAACAACAGTTTGTCCTGTATGAAAGGAGAGAAGGGGCATTATTGGCGCCGACACTGCGAGGTCATTATCTCCACGGAGGAGATAACGATTTCTTCGATGCTATCCCGGAATAATGCTGTCTTCTCCGTCGAGGGAACGGCGTGCTTATCGCGTAAAAAGTTCCCAGGGATTCAAACAGCGACTTAGTTCAGCATTTTGCATGGTCACGATTCTGAGAAACGCCAGGGCTAACTCCCATTGTGGGTAATCTACGATTGGAAAGGAAAATTAATGAAATATAAATGTGACATTTCTATTTCACCGCACGTCCCCGGGATCAAATTCGCGCTTTTACTTTTATTTTCGCTGTAATTGTAGCCCGGAGCTACGTCTCTCCACTCCGCTCTTCTCCGCCCCCGTGTGTGTGTGTGTGTGTGTGTTGTACCTTCGAGACTTCCTGTTCCGAAAACTCGACAATCCTTGTGGACTCGCAATATTGCGTTACGTACTGCTGAAAAATGAAAGATTATGTCGTAATATCTCTGGGATCCGGATGTATTACATCGAAACTGTCTACGCACAAGATTGAAAATGGCGCATCGATAACTCGCGACTGTTCAATATTTCAAGTCCTTTCAACGGTCGGGATTTCATGAATACTACATAGAGACCCTGTGTCTGAATATTCAGTTTTTAAAATTTAATGCCGGGGTGTTTATGTATCGTACTTGATCGGCGTGCTCGATCGAGAGGATCGTATTGGACGACGTTCATATTAAGATAGCTTTCGCGGATACTTGTTAGCGGTGATCCTTTGTGTCAAAGAGATTCTAATATTAATTAGGTAGTTGGGGATACAAATCGCCGGCTCTTCTGCGTAAAGCACCTTTGACGACGCTAAAAGCACTCTTTAATTAAATATGAAGGTAACAAATAGGAATATTTAAATACAATTTATCGTTGATGTGTTTAAAAATGCATAAACGGGCGGCAGGCCCGTTTCAGGATTATAATTATCAATATAAGGACTCTCGGTTACAACTAACAAAATTTATCAAACTGGACGGAGGTAAGCTCTTGATGAACATAGGGGGATCTGTAAATTAATCGCTCTCGGGAGATTCGGCACTTTATTTCGCAAGTTAGAGATTCAACAATTGCAACACACTGCGGTTTGTCTGATATCTCGGCGAGTTCAGAGTGTCAGTAACTTACAAGTGACCTAGACACATATTAATCTGGTTTTACGTTCTGTAACACGGTTACGAAATGCCCGCCCACGTATTCACGAGACTCGGACGGCAGGTGCTGCCGATTGGCCGACTGGCGGCTCGCGCGGCTAGAGATCGCGATTAATTTTCCAAATAGATAATAGAGGATAAGTAATCGAGCAACTGATCGTTTGATCGAATCACCATCGATAACGATGATAGCGAGTGGGCGCAGAGCTGCACTTAATAAGATTAACAGGGACGTTTGGAGGTGATTCGTAAACGGCTCGGGTCCTTTGAGCAAGATAACCGATCGCCCGGCTTGTACGCCGCTGATCACTTGTACCGCCGCGCCGTTGCGCTATTTCCTCCTTTCATCGCACAGTTCGAGAGTAGTTACTTCTCCCGAGCGTGCAGTTATTGTGTTCCTTAACTTAATAACTAAAATACTATTTTTCTAGTTATTCTTGTTGTCCGCTTGTACGTCCGCTCGCTCGCTCGCTCGCTCGCACGCTCGTTTCTACTAGTTTCGTCTCCGGTGCGCTTTTACCCAGGGATTTTCCGCGGGTTCGTTGCAAGAAGAAACGCCGCAACAGAAGAAATACAGAACAAGAGAAAGGGAGAAAATGGGAAATGGGGGAGAGAGAGAGAGAGAGAGAGAGGGGGGGGAGAACAAGCGAGCGGGAGAGGCGGAAAGGAGAGAAAGAGAGAAAAGTACACAACGAGAGCTCCGGCTGATAAATTAAAAACGAGTTCTATACTTTCCGGACGGAACTGCTCGACCGCCATTTCCACTGCTGGCCTTTGTAAGAGCATTAGCACCTTGAATCTAGGGCTTACGTTCCTTCGTCGTCCGAGTATAAATCTTCTCCGCGGATCGTCCGTGACAGATCCGGCGGCTAACGGAACGACGTGTGCAGGTTCCTCTTGCCTCGAACCACCCGTCATCCAAACGAGGCGCAAAGTATTTTCCCCGGGAAAGCGCGCCCGGACAGGCTCGATGGCTGACACACATTATCCGCGCAGTTACGAAATTCCCCGGTGGGTATGGCCGCGGTGGCGGCGGTCTCGGAGAGTACCCCTCTGGTGTAATATTTCGAGAGACCCCGGCCCACGAATCTACGTTAGCGCTAAGAGATTGCTCCCCATACCCCTTTACCTACCTACCCACCCGGCGCCACCCCTGGCCCCGTCGCGTCCCTTTTCCTCTTCCTCTCTCCATTGTAATCATGGAAACAATCATTCTTCTCTCTCCCTGGCTCCTCTTCACAGC